CGCTCCTTCGCGCGAGACGGCGTTCCTAAGCTCGTTGAAACAAATGTAGCCGAATACCGGTCTATTTGCATACTCATTGTACTATAAGTACTTTTCCCTAACGGCGGTTGGTAGATCCCATGGCAAAACGGGATGCGATGGTGCGAGGTCTTGAAAGGCGAAAATCGTTAATATCAGGCTGGAATGTGTTGTTCGAAAATTACACGAAACCACGCATTATTATACATATACATAAATATATATATATATATTTTTTCTAAAAATTATTTTATTATTTTAGAAATCCGTTTTTATTATTTCATGGTTTTATAAGCCTTCCCATAGCCGTTTCATAAGTTTAGATAGATGTGACATAGTATAAAAAATAAATATATTTTATTTATAAAATAATAAAATTTACAGCTCGTTGGTTTAAAATCAATATGAGTACAGGTGATGCCAATGCGAGTCAGAATGTCGATGTTGTGGCGCGCGCAATTCTTTTATTAAAACAATTAATGCCCAAAATGTTTCGATTGATTGCGGTCATCTTTAATCACACGGTTTTTCTTTTACATTATTAATAAGTGACAATTTAAAATTAGACGTGAATAATTTATAATTTGACAAACAAGTTCATCAGATTATATTGTCCGTTGATTGATAAAATTTCAGTATTTTAATTGATAATATGCTTTTTGCAACAATTACCTTTAGTTTATAGACATCTTTTTCATCACAGTAGTCATAATCGATTTGCTCACGTCATCTCAATGGTGAAGTAGCCACATACGTAAGCTTTTGAGAGTCGATGAGTACGGGAAGAACGGTGTTACTGAAGTACTTAAATAGGATGCTCGAGCAGGATAATAATACTTCAAAATTTTTTTATTGCTTTTGCGACTAATTTGAATATCCTACGTAATCAATGAAAAAAAGTACAATGACGGTCAAGCGCAGTTAGTGAAGTGCAAAATTAATTCTATTATCTTAAAATTAGTTCAAACGTTTCGGCTCGTTTTTGTGTCATTTTCAATGAGAATAACTCTGTAACAAATCTTCCTGTTTTCTCGAATTCCAAGTCAAAATTAAAAATTTAATCCTAAATGAATATATTACTCACACTAGTTTCAAGGTTAAATGATGCAAAA